TCTTGTTATATCAAAATCTAACTGTCTGGAACAACAGCGAATAGTTAAAATGAGATGATAGGTTTCTTATTCTCGGAATATCTATTCAATTAGGCATAACGTGGTTATGTACAGGCGTGGTTCGATGCGAGTTTGCAAATGTACGTTCATAAACACACAACAATGACTGCTGATGCTGACAATTGCGTTGTAAATATATATATCGATATGCGTAAACCATTTCACCAAATTCCAATCGTTAGATTGCGGATCGTGTTACAATTGGTTGACATCCTGTGATCGAACTTATCTGTACTATGAATTGGGAGTCAGCATTCTGAACCGGCAACCCGACTATGGCTGATTGGGCCAACGCTTCGTGATCAAACGAATTTAATTTAGCAACTCAAGAACATAGGTGGGAAATGGTATGGAGTCCCTTCGTTAGCTAATTACGCTGAACGATCCAATAAGGTTTTGGCATGCGGAGCAATCGAGTATGTGGGGGCAACCGAACTGGCAGTTAGCTTGGGACCCTTTGCAACCATGTTAGGGATGTGCTCTGCGATTCTCTCTGACAGCCTATTGTCAGTACGCCCAATGTACTTGCGGTAGCAAGTATTCTATGCACAACACTGTCTTTAACGCTGTAGTCAGCTAGTTCCCTTAGGATAGCTTGGATTATATTGGTCAGGCATTTGACCAACTTCTGATACGGTGCGCCTACCATTGAAATAATCGGTGGTAAGGGGGTATCTTGGTTGTGGATTTTCAGCAGTCCTTACAAATAAGGAAGCCGCGATGCTCGAGTGACCGGCTGTGTCAAAGTTTTTGAGTGATTCCATCCCACCGTTGTTAGGGTCTTTATTTCATGAACGTTTGATTTCATAACATGTTCGGATTTATCGTTATCTGTCACATCAAAAACGAATCGACTAGTCTGCCAGAACTTTTTGCATTTCCTGGATGTAGCCCTGTTTCTGCATTATGACGACACCTAATCCCAAATCTTGTCTCAGTATTACAACCTCTTCATGGCGTAGCTGTTACGTTAAGGACCCGCAATTATCCTTCGTCATGGTACGTCACTTCTCCGTGTCACTAGCGCATAACTGTTTGGTAAGTTCTACACTCGTAGTTGTAAAGCAACCGCTTGTCTCCTCATTGGTCTCTGTTCAACTGGGAAGATGTTCGTTCAAATGTGCAAACTGAGCCTCGACTGCTATTCTACCATATGGATTTGATGGAATAGATAAACTGAACCGTAGGGACAAGCTTCAAGTTGGGGTTGACCTACGGGAGAACGAATATCCCGAGCTATTTCTAACACGAAGTGCGCACGCAAAACGCCAGGGGAAAACATCAAATGATGTTCCTAAGAAAAAGAGAGCATTAGCCAGCGCACGAATTCAGTCGATAAATAATTACATGATAAAAATATTAACAGATTATCAGGGTAATGCTCAGATTTACAAGACGTTGATGTTCGAAGTGCCCGCCGGCTTTTTGCGTACAGCGCAGCACTTGCCTGATGGTGTTTGCTGGCACTTTCGCCAGAGTACCGACCGGGATCCTGCGACATTCTTGCAAAATGCTCCGCTTCAATTCCTCAAGAAAGTTTGGCTTCGTGTTGTAAATATGCTGTTTCAAGTAACTCCATAGGTCGAAATCCAAAGAGTTTAAATCTGTTGTCCGAGCAGGCCACTCGCTACGTCCTCCCCGCCCGACCCAACGGCAAGAGAACGTCTGCTTGAGAAAATCCCGCACAGCTTGTGCATAGTATGCAGGTGCACCATCTTGCTGCAATCAAACGGTACTTACTAACCCAGTGGCTTCCAGTTCCGGAATGACACAACTTTCCAGTATTTTCTTGTACGAGGATGCTAGAAAGCGTAGGGCATTAGTACTGCGAAACAATAACCTACCGTTCATATTACGGAAAAAGCAAAATGGTCGCATGACTCTTCGGCCAGTTAACCCAGCCCATACCATGAGGTTTGCGCCATGTTGTATACGTGAAACGCTGCATCGAGGTGGATTACACGTTGCCAAAAACCGTTGGTTCTCCGCAACGTGCAAAGGGAAAGCAGCCTCATCGGTAAAATGAATTGAATGGATGTCCATGACACCCAAGAACCTGCGGCAAAAATGAAGCCGCTTCTCCGAATCACATGGATTTATAATCTGCAATTGACGGCGCTATACTTCCGGAATTACCTTTCTTTCAAAGCCCTATGGACAGCATATCTGGTAGTGTCGCAATGCTGGGCGAGTTTATGAATGCTTAGATCGCATCTTCTGGACACTTCACAAATAACCACACAATCAGAAAAGTCATCTGTGACTGTTGTAACTGTGACTGTAACTGTGACTGTTGTAACTTCCTCTCAGAACCGAACACGTTATCAAGCCGTTGTTTGTCATGGCGCCGACAACATGAACATTCGGTCCCCGGCTGTTCGCCACTGTACACTGCGCTCGACTATCCCGTCGTGAGCGGCCACGAGTGCGGGAGCAAAATAACTTGAAGTTGGTCTCGTCAATCCACACCGGTTGCCTTCCTTCCGCCTCGTAATCCATGAGCTGCATACGAATGACCTGCGTCGTTTTTTGTCCTCCAGCGTGTTCATGGACTGCGGAATGGTGTGCAGTTTCTCCATTTTTATCAGTCTACCATCCAAGTATCGTGAGACAGTGCTGGTACTTACTGTAAGTTTGAACTCCACCTTCAACCGCACACGAAGAAGTTCAAGGGTAACAGTAGGCTCTGAAGAAACCCACTCCACCAGAGAGTCGATGTGGCTTTCTCCCAGTGCTCTGCGACGGACTACCCCGCGTTGCCCCACCGGTTCCGTCGATTCGTACGCTCGTATCCAGTTGCGGCAAGTTTTCATGTTCACCTTCAGTGTGCAAGCGACCTGCTTCCAAGCGTCACCTTCCTCGCACGCTTTCAGTATGACGTTCTTCACCTCCCTCGAGTGCCGAACATACGATCCAACCATTGCGTTTATGTGAACTGCACATTCAAAAGCATACGGCAAACTTATGTGGCTGTGGCTCATTATACCAACCCAATCGTCATTCAAATCCCTACTCTTGTTCTAATTGGTGGGAATCGTTTCCTAGGACAGAGAAACAAAGGCCAACCTGGTGCATGGGCCAGCGACACTGTCCCTGGTAGGAGTTGAAGCGTCCCACCTGCGTCCCTATGACTTAGTGCGTCTGAGGTCCGATTGGCTGGAGGCGACGTGCTATGCACGCACACCTACACACCTGCACAAGTAAGTGGCGTACGCACGGCTCAAATTAATTGAGTAGACTCATGTTGTATGCCCCCTCAGATTAATTTAGTTGCCCAAGACGACAACTTGGCCGAGGAATTTATGGAATACTCACCATGCAGCCTATTATCTAATTTGTATAATGGTCTGAACATCGTACGCTTGCAAACGAATATAGTGCGGGGTCAATGGATAGCTGATGGCCGGATGATTTGCATATCAGCAAGACGGGTATTTGAAGAATATTCAACAGTTTTTGATTGTCAACAAATAAAAGTTGGCAAGTGATGAAGAAGCAGCAGTATCAGCGAAAGTAGCGGCAGGTGTAAGCATCGTAGTATTAATTACGAAATCCATGGTTTTCAAAGTGGACGATAGTATCCGGTTGCCTCATTCCGAGCAGGGAGTTGTCTTTGGGGACTCGGCCCGAGCCATTGGCTCAATAGCCTACTCGCAAGGCGGTGGAGCTAAGTCAGGGATTCGTACCCATTGGGAGCCGATGTTCAGTTCATACGCCTTCTGTTGGTGATCAGCCAAACAAGGGCCCAATCTTCCCCACAATTTCAGCAGCAATGTGCTGGGATACAATGCTTCACCAAGGTGAAACAAGGGGCAGTGACTTTATTTAGTGGCGAGTCACATCCGCCACGTCGTAGTGTTGTTAAACCGACACATGTAGCTTTCGATAGGGAGAGCTGTTACCAGGCGAAAACGCACAACGTCCTGGAGCACTACCGCCGTATCATTCGCTGAACCGAGATAATGCCGGATCAGCCAGCTGGCACCACGATGAGGTTGTTCGGCAGGCTAACCATGAAGATTGGTTAGCTAACCGATTTGTTTTCAATGAGAAGTTGATAAGTGATTTAATAGAGACGTCCTAAAGTATGTAGGGTCTCAGGCCCACCGATCTGTTGGAACCAGCGACAACCGAAAATTTTCGGGGCCAATGCATGAAATGGAAGCGGCATAGCTCTAGGCTGAAGTCGAGAGCCAGGTTTTTCGCAAACTGGTTTGTGTCCAGTTGTAATAAACTTCCTTATGCTCTACTGGGAAGCGAAACTGTCGAAGAACTTGAACGTAGTCTGAATAAACATTGGCTGGTGCTGTTCCCAGAACTTTCTTGAAATTTGTTGACTACCACTTATCTCAGTTTTCTGTTTTCCTGTATTGTAGAAGCAAGCTTATATAAAGTCACAGTGCTGTGGGCCCTTTTCGCTTACTGGCACACGAAACGGGACGCTCGTTAAGCGGAATCTTGTTTCATTTCTGGAACCTGTCCTGTCAGTAGGCAGAACAATCCAGCACTGCACCTGTTTGGTGAGGCATCCACAATCCGGTGGCTAAAGCCCGACCTGTGTAAGCAAGCTGACCTCGTGCCTAGCTTAGCCTTGCCATGGCAAAGTATAGGAACAGTCACTGAAAGAGATGACCTCGATAGCCCCAGGTTCAAACTAGTCGCCTTATTGATTCCATGCCATACGCACCCACTAAATCCTCCCACTGTAGGTTTGTAAGCGACTGACTTAGAATACACGAAATAAACTGAATTCAGGCAATCTCCCTAAACGATGGTTGCAAATACTTTGTTGAAACTCCAATGTTACCCTGTCACGTGATTGGATTTATTGATTATTATCAGTTTGAAAGACTTCAGCCACTAACAGGCAGCGGTCAAAAGAGGAATTAATTGTGATGTCAAATAGACAAAAAATTCTGACATTACCTCTATCCACAACAATGCCAGCATATTCCAAGTTGAATAAAAAACGTAGAGTAACCTGTCGATTTTGTAATTTACCCTTTGGATACGTTCCGCTTTCTGCTATTCCAGTAGAGGCTAATTTGACGTTTCTGTACAAGATGCTCCAAGAGAAGCAACAGGAATGCTCGACAGATACCAACGTGAATTCTTATGATGAGGCAGAACAGGCAGTCAAAGAAATGAAAGATGATCTTATCAACACTGAAACGCACAATCAAGTTGTTAGAACACCCAAGCAATTTTTGAGCCCAACACGGATAACAAGAGTAGAAGAGCCTAATTCAGTTGATAGCAGGAAATTTTTGGCAATTTTTCTACCTGATGCCATCAATGTTATCATAAAGAGACGATGTAATGAGGTTCGCGAGAACCATAGAAAGCAATCCAGTAGATATTCCAGTCCTGAATGCAATCTACCATACAGTTTTAAGTTTCCGGGGGATGACCTTCATCTAATGGATACTGTGATATGCGCAGGTTGTGGAAGTACTGTCGGAGTACGCTTTGACCTGCATCCAAGTCAAGTCGCACTGCCAACCAGCACGTGGCGCTCCTCCAGAATGGCCCGAAATGACATGAAAAGCGAGTCGCTTGATGAACCGGTACACCAGGATGATGTGGATAACATGGACAATACGACAAATCAGACCAGTAACTTCATCAGTGCATCAGAAACAATTTTACATCGGGCCAAGGAAGAAGGTTGGATTTCACTGTCTTTGGAGTGTGTTGATATTGAACCACTGTTCGGTCTGGTAGGCCTGGACCAATTTTCTATTCGCTACCAAGGTGGTGAAATGTATCCCAACTTTTACTGCAGTATTGAATCTAGTCCACTGTTTTCACAGAATTCGGCCACTTGGATGGTGCCGGCAAGACGTATAAAACCACGACGGGCAATTGACACCAGTCATGTTACCCATCATCTGACCAATTGGGATAAAACCTATTATGAATTGGAGCGAAGTGACAAATTAATTCCTTTCACTTTGGGGCACGGTGACCTTGTGGAAGCCACAGTACGCCGATTAGACGCGCTGTACCCACCAACTAGGCGGGAAGCGGACATAGACAGCGATTGAAACTGCATCTGCGTTACCTGAGAAGGTGTCTGTATAACACATTGTGCATTCTTTTTAGAAGAACTAAAATTTGGAATCAAATTATTGTGTGGTTGTAGTTCACTTATATCACATAGGTCGACCACTTGGCAACTATCAGTGAAGTCGAAAAGAACTGTGAGTTGACAATAACTGGCTGCTGCAGTTGATTTGAGAAGTTCTACTCTCAGTATGCATCTGTGGACTAGTGTGTAAAATAAACTGCCTACGTTTTTCACTTTAAGTGATGTTCTTATAACATACCTGCTTCAAGGGTTGTATCACTATACTGTTAGGTTACTAACAGCAGGCAGGGAAGATGAATAATTAAAAAGACGGATATTATTATGCTGGGCCCACGAATGTGCCATTTCACAAATAATACTAATCAATAAGAGTGATTTATGAAGAACAGCAAAGGATTTACAAAATGTTCCCTTAAGTTGGTCAGGAAGAGGAATGCGAAGGCGAAGATTGCGCATATCGCCAAACGAAACATCAGGATAGTGAAAAGTTGGAAGCTTTGTTTATGAAGTGAGACAATGCCATGCAAACTAGGGTAACAAGTTACTATAACTAAGGCCTTTTACAAAGGACAGTGGGATTTCTGACGGCTTCTGTTGAACTGTGTCATCATCATCAGTATACACGTCAGCTAGAAGCGGGAAACACCTCAGATACTGTGCCACATTACATAAATGAAAAAGGAAAATAAATACAAATGTTGCATACCAGCTGAGCTACCAGCAACGGATATGCATCGTTCCGGTAAGCTATCAGCCCGCTACTAGGCAAAAAGAAAAATTATTATGTTCTACGCTAGGAAATGAGATCGTAGGTGGAGGGGAATGAGAGACTAAAAAGAAAGGGGAGGGACAAAGAAACTCACAGCACGAACGCCACTGAGGTCGGGGCTCCTTGCCATGTCAGCAAGTGTATCTAGCCAAACGTGTTCACCATCTTCTGGACCCCAACCAGGGAGCCGTGATGCTCCAACCGAGGCCAGCTCCGAAGTGAGGGTCTTCATTCCTCTTCACCAAGTCATCGTTTGCCCACCCTTCCTCTTCTTCCATCCACATCCCCGGTGAACAAACAACGCACGTCACATAAAAATGAACAATGAACAATGATTTACCACGGGATAACAGCAAGTGCTTGACACGTCCCGTAGGATGGTTGCGGTGAATATGATGAAATCAAAATATGTCTGGGTCATCTATCGAACGTCTGCCGAGATGAATAGCTTGATAATTAACATCAGTGTAAAATTAAAATAAATTATCGAGCGTAAACGTTCAGAAGGGCACTGGAGTGCAGTGATATTTGATATAAGGCGTGAAGAAAGTAAACTATGGTCGCTCACTTTGGTCCATTTGATGCATAAATTCTGTTGAAAAGCATGCTTGGCGTAATCCACAATGGAGGAGTTTAGGTAACAAAATGTTGGGAGCTAAGAGCAACTTCTAATTGTTCTTTGAAAACATCCAAGGTATGAGAGGATACAACTGAGTCTGGGAGTGCGTTCCAGGGTTTGCAAACCCGAAAGGAAAAGTAATTCCGTCGACACTCTAGACGGCTGTATTGTTCCTTCAATTGTAAGCAGTTACCCCTGAGCTGCGTGTTGTGGCTAAGTTTCAGCAAATGGCGGCATACGTGGTTGGGGTCACTCAGTATCTGATACGCTAATATGAGATCGCCGCGCAGCCTTCGATAGCGCCCGCTGAAAAATCCCAGCAACTTCAGCCTTCGGTGTTAAGAGTGATAACGCAGGCCCTTTACATTTTTTGTTGCTTTTCGTTGTGGTACCTCTATCGCTTCTAGGTCGCGCTTCAACTAAGGTTGCCAAGCTTGGATAGCGTATTCAACATGCGGTCGCACGTAGAAAGTCGATGGGCTGTCACGCGCAACACGTTGCCGAGCCATCGGAGGCTGGTGCGTAAAATAACGATGCTGAGCGGTGTAGTTCATTTTCCTGTGCCGTAAACAAGGCCTCGCACACGCTCGTTACTCACGCGGTGTTCCAACCAGATGTAAGCCAAAATGCGGAGGCACCAGTGGTCGATCTTAAGAGCCAGGTTTCGCAACCGTACAGTAAGGTCGAACGTACCGCTGCATGCTACACTCTACCCTTCAGGGCGAGAGTAACGTAGCGCCGCCGCCATATGTGGCGAATGTTAGCAAAAGCACATCGAGCTTTTGATCTACCGTTCGTAATCTCCTCTTCAATTCCAAGGGCACTGGTACAACTTCCCAGGCAGCTGAATTTTCGAACGACTTCTAGCTGATCACCAACTAGGGTCCGCGCGGGAAACGATCCCTGCCAATCTTGGAGGAAAGCTTTGCAAATCGATTGTGTAAAAGCAAAGCCCGAAGCGGCTGACAGCCAGTGCTAATCTGTCCAGCGCGTCTTGGCACATCTGGGAGCTGTCACAGATGAGGGCAAAGTCGTCTGCATACTCCAAGTCACGAAATCGTTCTCCTGGGAGTAGCTCCGCACCTTCCAAATCATGTCCTGTAAATGCAATTTCAATGACTTCCTCAATAGCGAAGTTGAAGAGGAAAGGTGACAGCGGGCATACTTGTATCACACCGCTGGAAATATTGAAGTGTGTCGACAGCTTACCGTAAGCCCTCACTCTGCCCATGCTACGCGCGTTTAATGCTCGAATAATATTTACATATTTCTCGGGCACACCTTTCCTTAGTAGACAATTCCAAAGGGCACACAGATCAATCTAACTGAAGGCACTTTGATGTCGAGGAACACGACTACGATGAGCCGCCAATATATGTGACGGTGCTCCAACATCTGACGCAAGGTGAAGATGTGGTCAATGCAGCCACGACCCTGACGAAACCCGGCCTGCTGCTCACGAATGTGGCTTTCACGAGCGCCAGTCAGTCTGCGAATGATTATGGAGGCGAGTAATTTGGAGGCGATGGAGATCAGACTGATTCCTCTATGGTTGCCGCATTCCGAACGCGACCATCCTTTGAAGATGGGAACAATAGCGGAGCGGCTGCAGTAGGTTGGGACAGTATCCTGCCCCCTCAGTTTCAATAGCAATTCATTTAAAGCATTAACAAGAGCAAAGCCTCCCAATTTGAAGAGGACTGGAGGAAGATCATCTGGTCCCGCGGCTTTGTTCAACTTCAACAGTCCGATCTCACGTTTGACTTATGAGCGAGAGGGTGGATCCAAATGGACAGCCCACGGAGCAGGGCGATCACTGGTTAAACAATTCTGATCGATTAAATTGCTTTTCAAAATGGTCAGCCCAACGCTCCAAACGTTTTGACAAATTGTGCATAGGTTGTCCACTCTCATCACTTATAGCTTCACTAATGCCAGGTTCCCTGCTGCCCGTTTCCCGTATCAGACAGAATAACTTACCATGGTTACCAAGGGCAACGGCCATTTCTATCTCTGACGCACGAAGAGACAACCAAGTTTCGCGGTCTCTCTTCAGGCTAGCACGCAGTCTTGTCCGGAGCTCTTTGCGAGTTTCATTGTGTTCGCTTCCAACCGGGATATGCCGGCGAGCCTCGATAAGTTCTAGAGATCACGAAGTGACCCAATAATCATGTTGGCTATTAGACTTACCACATGAGGATTTTCCTGCTGCGAGTAAGGGCTAATGAACGTGTGACCAGTGACCTTCAAATGTCTCCAGTGTGCGCATACTCAGCTAGCATATCAGCGTACTTTGATAGGCATTCAGAACAGCTGGCTTTGTCAATTGGCCGGTGTCAATGCGCTCACAGCGTCGTCGTGGGCGTCCGCCAAAACGCATCCGCATGTCAGCACTACAAGTGCATGATCGGTGTCCACACCTGTGCATGATCGGTGTGCAGACATGTGCTCCAAATCGAACGGCAGTTTTGGACGCAGACTATCCAGCGGTAACTGATAGCAATGTGATCGAATTGCGTCCATAGCTGGTTCGATACTGGTGGTCGCCAAGTTACTCTCCGGCGAGTGCTGTGCCGGAAATTAATGCTTGCAAAAATCAAGCTAACATCTTTACACAAATGAAGTAACCGCTCACTGTTATCATTACGGAAGCCCACACCGTGCTGACCAGTCAGATGCATTTCATCAGTAAACAACTTTCCAACTTGTGCGTTCAGATTCCCCGCCAGCACAACAGTGTCCGTGCTTCTTCTGTGGCGAAGGAGCTGGGTCAGTTGGCGGTAGAAGTCGTTCTTTACCGAATCATCGCTACAGTTTGTGGGCGCGTAGGCAGCGATAACAAATAGACACCTATTAGTCACGCGCGACTTCGAAGCTTTGAACGAGCCAGCCAATCGGACCGCACACATCCGGCTACTGATTGGAATCCAATCAACCAGAGCAGTTTCAGCCCGGGGATTCAGGGTAATGCCAACACCAGCTTGGCCGATGCTCGAGACTGCATCGTCACCGGATAGACTCAATGAGGAAATACTGCTTGCGTCACCTGAAGGGGATCGCAGAGTGAGCACAGAGCTCGAGTCTTGCAGCCGGGTCTCTGATAAGCAACAGATATCGATCGAGAGTGTCTCCAACGTTCGGGCAAGCGCTACCTGTTGACCGATCCGCAGTAATGTGTGTACATTGAGGCATGCCAATCTGAAGGAGGATCGAGGGCTCCAAATGGAAGCCGATGAACTGGAATGGACCGCTTGGTTGGACATGGGCTTGCCGACAGGAGAGGAGTGACGCCCCGCGTTAGCATTTGAGTTGAAATTAGAAGATAAACACCTAGCAGAGTATGTTGGGGAAGGGCCAAGAATCCGGGGATTGAAAACTGGGGGATAAAAGTGAAGTTGGAATGGGATGGTAAGAGTGAAGAAGCGTAAATGGGGGGAATAAGAGGATGGGAAGGCTTGAGCAGTAGCATTCAAACCCCTGTCCACCCTGCTCGATGACGCAGATAGGGCACTTTTGATTATCATCTGCGGGGACCAGGGCAACAGAAATTTGTTTAAAGAGAGATTCA